ATCTAATAACGTCACGCTCGGTCCGTGTGTCTCGACGGCGAGGCCGTTGGCTGCAAACATAAGAGAGGTTGCACATTTTTCAATCGATAATACGATTTCTGTAGTTGGCAGAGCTCTCACCCCTCAATAATTAATGACATAGTGTCTGTCTTATCACTTCTAGAACTAGTCCGCTTAACCTGCCCGGATCCGCTACTCATTTAACTGCGCTTTACTGAAAGCAACTTCATAATTACGTCGAAATCTTTGGTAACCGAAATTAATTCTCTCAATTTTGAATGGGAGCCCTAATCTGTATCTATAATCGCCTTCGCATTGGCGTTACTTATATAAGGGCCGAATTGTTCGAAAAACTTAATTAAGATTTTGTCTACCCCGAACATCTGTCTGCTGCAAATGCGATAAAAGAAATTAAAGGACCCCTTCCAAAATAGAACTCATCGGTTTTTCACTCTCACCGTCCTAACATACTATCAATGGCACAAATATAAGTTAAGAATAATAGTTTTTGTGGAATGGTATCAGACATCACTTTTCAGGTTCTGTTTGACGCATTAAAAGATCCAAACAGTGTGGAAAATAACAGTCTCTTTTATGGAGAAAGGTGTCACAATTAAAATCATATATCATATATACTTTTTATATAAAAAGTGTTCTATATACATATATACAGAGTGATTCACAACTTTGGGATTAGATTCGGCATCAAAAATAGTCAATATCGTAGAAAAAATTATTGAAGTTGTAGTATTTTAAAGCCTTACATAGCTGGGCTACTGTAGTCATTCGTCATTCGTGTTGTGCGCTGTATGCAATTCGCTCTCTCTCTCTCTCTCCACGTGACCCCAAGCAATTCCGAATACCGGAATCAGATTTTAGTATTAACGTTTTCGCGATAGTGTTTACATTAGTTGTTTCAAGTGTAATGTAAAGTAATGTAATACCTACTACATTACTTTTCCAAGTGTCAAAAATGGGTTACGTCTATGGCAACTCGGATGGATATCGTTTTAATTTATGGCGAAGCAAGACAACATTTGTGTTATGGTGAAGCAAGACAACATTTTTTGTTCGTAGAAACTATGTAAGTCGGGTCCAAATGTGGTTACAGTGGAACAAAATTTTGAACAGTTGTTGGAACATCAGATATGTCTTATTATTTTATTAAGCAAAACAAATTAATTTCATTAATTAATAATAACAAAATTGTATTTGTGAGATTCCCTTTACATCCAAAATTTATTTTTTGGATAAGTTCTGAATCACCCTGTATATATGTATACACTGTGTCTCAAAATGATGGAATAAAATTCATATTTTTTTTCCAGTTGAAATTTAAAAAATCGCTGAAACAGATCAATTAGTAAATCGAAAGAAATTGTCAGCGATGAAAAATATTCAACTTCACAGTTAGATGTACTATAGTAGGATCATATTCGATGCAAACTAATAAATCATTGCCTGTCAAGGGATCCAGTGCAGCACGGTTTTAAGGGGTTTAGAAATTGAATAATTTCTTTACGCATTATGAAGGGATGAAGGGATCAGTTCACGTCTGGCACCCCTGTTCCTTCAAAAATTCCTTTATTCTCGTAAACTATTTATTTTAAATGTAATTTATTATAAATCCAATTTGTTTTTTAAATGATGAAGCGGTATTTCAGATTTTACATTCAGTTTCATTTTAAATTTGAAATGGTTCATCTTACGTGTCCTAAAAATGATGACACGATTTTCCTTTGATAAAAGACCGACAATTTTTTGCTCTACTTTGCATCGAATACGATCCCACTATATCTCCAAATGCAGAACAACTTATTTGTAATACATTATTACAGTGGCGGCGTATACATATTAAAGTGCATTTTAAAAAACTGATTATAACCCGACTATTTATTTGATTAAAAAAAATTATTCAGATTTCCAGTTATTCGAAACCATTTGTTTTTCCTGCTCTAATTGTGATTAACGATCCATTTAGATATAGAACACTAGATATACATGCGAGCTTCATTATCTCATACTAATATTTATACTTATACAAGCTGGAAAATTAAATACCCAGTTTTAAGCCCCTCATTATTTTTGTTCAAGCGTGCATTAATTAAAAGAAATGATACAGTAAATTATCGCTAGCGTGATCTTTAATTATTAAAAACAATATGATGTATTATTATCAATCGATGGGTGTAAAAATCTAAATTACTATAGGGCTGATTCTTCAAATTACTTCATCCTTATGTCTCAAAATTAGTAAATAAAAATAAAATTAAATGATTGTTTAAAAAGTACGAAAAAAATGCGTTTATCAAATGGGTCGAGTGCACTGAATAACGTTTTCCCGCGTATAATCGCAAATTTTCGATTTTCCAAAAAGAACTACATAGGGGTCAAATCAGGACTTTTTGCGGACCAAAAAATCGACCCTTTATAAGAGAGTAAAAGAATGTCCTTTGTGTAAAATACAGTTATTATTATAAAAATTTAACACTATAAAAAATAATTGCTTAGTTCTATCCTGGCACAACTGCCATATTGTCATTATCACTGTTTTGGATTTCACATGAGTGTCAATCTGTCAAAGCAAATACATAACATGTATATATCCCAATATAAACAAAGGATTTTAACTTTCTTATAAAAGAGCAATTTTATGGTCCGTAAGTAGTCCTGATTTGCCCCCATATATGTAGCTTCTTATAAGGGACTCTAGTCGACAAAGTAAACAAAGAACGACATAATAACTTGTATGATCTAAGGAAGAAAATGTCGAACGCAGTTAATACCATCAATGAGATGAGTAAAGGAGGGCTTTGTCTTTACTGCGAAGGGCTAGTAAATAAACCAAAATATCGTGCAAATTATCCAAGCAAATACGAGGTCTGTTCAAATAATAACATAACTCTGTATTACGCGCGGTTGGCAGCATTGCGTCGCGCATAACTCCTGTAACCACATGTTCTTCAATTGTTGACATCTCATTTAGTTTTCGTGTTAATGTTATTTAAGTGCAACTTGTTTAAGTGTTAGTGATCTTTCAACTTTTGAAACAAGCTTACGGAGATGATGCTCTGGGTCGTACGCAATGTTACGAATGGTTGTCACCATCCAAATAGGGTCGTCACTCAGTTGAAGATGATCCTCGACCAGGAATACCTTCAACTTCAACTGATGACCCCTACATTCTTTGACCCCTAGAACATTTTGATGTAGTATTTTGTGACAATAAAAACCAAAAACCTATCACCGGCGTTTAGTTGTATGTTATACAAAAAGTATAATTTACCGTACTATTAAAAAATTGCATAATATACAGTGTTTCATTAAAAATCAATGATGTTTTTTTGAGATAATTTTCTTACGTCAAAAAATCTGCAACTAAAAATACTAATCGATGTGTCCGCGCGTTTTTCCACAAAATAATTATCCGAATTTTAGACGAATTTGTTCCTTTCATCATGAAAGCACTGTTTATGATTTTTGTAACCAGAAAAAGTCAGGTATTTCTAAAACACGACATATACAGAGTATTCCATTTAAAGAAACACAAACAGAATTCAATTGTTTCTTTATTTACCTCTTTGATAATGCAAGAAAATTTACCAAGGCTTTGGTCATTACTATTTTTTTTTTTGTATAAATAAAAAGTGTAGATTGTCATGTGAATGACCCTGTACATCGGAAATAAACAATTTTGACGCTTGTCTACGCTGCGAACTGTTAAATATTTATCTAAATGGCACTTCTGTTAAATATTTAAAAGCAGTTGGATTACACCCTGTGTATTATACAGGAAAGTGATCACCTCGCTATCGCGCGTAAAAAAAAATGTTTTACATAACACAATAATATTCCGCGTGCTCGGAATAAATAAAAAAAAAAGTCTGACAACATCCACTTATATTCCTGCTCTGTACTTTCGCAGGCCGTTCCTTGACAAAAGTAGGCAGGAATTCTAAATGCTTTTCACGTGCCACTCGCTGTAAGGACAAGAGCCCTAAGAATCTACGTGGATACACACTTTTTATTCCATATCAGCATCGGGATCTACGGCACTGCATATCGGAAAAGGGACAGGCCTGGAATCGTTTTCGAGTTTAACATCGTCTACTATTCTCGAATCGCTCCCGCTGAAACGTTGAGCTAGATAAGGACATTAATCGAGATTTAAGTAAAACTTCCAAATTGTGAAAACTCCAAGACCGTCATTAAAGCCACTTAAATTTCAGTTTCGTCCCAGGGCAATAATAAACGGAATTGATCCCCGGGAAGATTTCACGCCACTTCTCCATGTGTTGTTTAAATTTATGCCCCCCTCACTGCGACACCGGAAAGCAGGCGTAATCTTCCCGATTTTTAATGATAAGATTTCCTCTAAGATTTGTATTAAGGTCAAGAACAACGCGGAAGGAAAAACGCCGCAGTTGTTTATTCTCTCCTACAATTTCACGCAAAATCGTAACCAAGTAGTAAACTTCGTCATACAGTTGTGAGGCGGAAGAATCATGGTTTGTACACATGAACTACTGGATATTAATGTAGGGGTGCCTCAAGGTTCTATACTAGGGCCTCTAATATTTTTACCTTTTATAAACAACTTGCCAGCTTTGACAAACATTTGACGAGCTGTTACTGAATTTGTATCACTTGTCTAGAAAATTTAAAAATAATAAAACTTTGCAGGATGCATCAAAAACCCAGACTGACTATGGGAAATTCTGTTCTACACATCTTGAGTTTCTTTTGATATACAACTAAGGATAGTTGTAAGTATATCAGGTTTTTTAGGTTTATTTTTTTTAAGTCTCGGTTTGTCGCACCATCACTTTCACTTTTTAAAAATCAACACATTTATAACTACTTTTGTTACATAAATACTGCCCTTACAACTGCTTTTATACAGACCTTACGAGTACACTCTCAAATTCTTCTTTTTATTCTAAAATTTCGTGACATTTATGTGTAGCCGTCAATAAAATAATGTTTTCTTTATTTTTCAGATTTACTGCGGACTACCAATGCAATCTTGAGTACTGGTAAGCTAATTTAATATTTTTTTAGTTTTTTTTTAATACAAATGACTAACTTTGGCTAAGAACCGATCCGATAGTTGAATTTTAATTTTACGCGAAAGAATATGACGACTGGAATATAACATTTTCAAATTACATCACGCTTTTTGAATACATATTTATTGTGTCATTTAAAAAATATAAGTCCGTATTTAATAGTAAACCCATATTCTTACTTTGCAAAATCTCGCCTACGCCTACGATGTTAACATTAAATTCTTGCTCAATTGTTCAAGCCTTCGCAATAAGCAATAAGCCGAAGTAAGAAGACCTGAAGATTGTTAATGAGATTATACCGAAACGTCGTCAAACAAATGGTTAATTTGAAGACCATGCAGATTCAACGCCATATATATATATACAGGATGTCCCAAAATAACGTGTACAGCGAAAGGCCACAGATTTGTGGACTCAAAAGAGGCAGATTTAGGCTAATCCATCCATGTATACCCGAAATCGCTTCGTTTGGCTGCTAGATGGCCTCAAAAGTTCGTGAAAATTTTTTGAATTTTGTAAATAGTCTGGTCGTTATTTTGGGACAATATATATATATGATTGTAGAATTTCTCCGGGTTTCTTTTCGCGTTGAATGTGTGTGTGTGTGTATATACAGTGTTCTATTTATTTTTTTGTCAAAATTGAATCCCTTGCTAAAAAACGTTTACTCTTCGATTATTCTTTAATTGAATTTTCATATAGTAGGTAGATTAGATTCATTTAAATTTCGCGTCATTAATATTTATCAGAGATAAAATATTAACAATATTCTGCGATATTTATTTTATACGCTTCCCCATTCGATCAAGTGCGGTAACGTACAAAAAATGACAGCGTATCCAACATATTTAACTAAGTATAACACAAATTTAGTCGCCGCATACCGTTTCCAAAGTTATTTTAATTTGTTCGGTAAAATTATACCCAACAAATAACATAAACCTTTGTTGTTTCAGTAAGCGGGAAACCTTTTTTGGGGCTTATGAGATGAAACACGAAACGTTGATTTCGGCTTTAAACTGTAATACGTGATGTGATTTCAAACGGGTATCATTTTACTTCATAATATTAAGTAACCCACACGGAAAAAGGAGTGTATTGTGGCGATAGTGTGTTCGATGGTAACTTCATTGATAGAAATAAAGAAAAAGTTTTCCCAATTAATATGTATAAGGTGTTGTGACACTTTCAAATATGATAGCAAGCTTAATCTTTGTTTTATTGAAAATCCTGTATATTTTTTCCTTAGTTGGATAGAAGACTCTTGCAATTACAATGATATAAGGTGATGAGTCCACCTCTAACAGTAAGAAAAATGTAGCCTGCAGAGCCTATAGACAAAATGTTATAATTTTAGTTTAACAGTATCCTTATTTAAGAAAAAAAACTGTGACGAGCGATAAACATTTTTAGAAGCGCTGGAATTTATAGAAGCAAAAGTAGCGTTTTTATTGTTGTTAAAACTATGATAACACAGCGCCACAAAATAAAAAAAGTGGGTTGGTTGGGCCCTGAAGACAGAATTCCGGATCAGTTCGTATTTTGATTCTAATATCAAGACACTTCTCTAGAAAGCGATTGGAAAATCATTCGAATTAATGAACTCATTGTATAATAACCCTATAATCCCGTAGCTCCATGACCCCATGACCCCGTAACCCTATAACCCGGGAACATGGATATCATACATCAGCTGTCCGAAACTACATGACTGGTTCGGAAGGCTTCATAACCCAATAACCCTGTAACCTCAACATTGGGTCTGTAGTACCGCTCTAACTCTATAATCCTTTAACTCAGGGCATGCAAGCTTCCGTAGACCCATCATGTGGGGTATACAAATTTGTGTTACAGTCACTCTTTATATCTATACTGAAAAAGCATAGTATACTTTGACTCACTGATTTCGAAACGTCAGCGCTTTTGGAACTAATAACCCTAACCCTATAACATGATAACCCCGTAACCTGTTATTTGAACGATTTTTATCTCAAAAACTCACGACCCCTGAGTTACAACATTATTTAGCTTCTCAAGTTTCGTGGTAATACATCCTCGCACACCCAGGATTATGGTGTTACTGGATCATTACGTTATGGGGTTATAGAAGCCCGTCAAGTCACAGCCATGTAGTTTCAGACCCCTGACTAATGAAATTCATATCGGCACTGAGTTTCAAGGTTCTACACTCGCACATTCCGAGTGATGGGGTTACGGGGTCATGGGGTCATGAAGCTACGGGGTCGTGGGGTTATGAAACCTCGGGGTTATGGGGTTATTGCGCAACGAGATTATGACTTTCGAATGTTTTCCAATCATCAATTTTATGATATTTTGTTGCAATTTTTTGGCGTTATTTATAGAATTCTACTCAAACAGATTGGTAACAGTTTCCAAATTTTTCTCTACGTGGCATCATACGCGTTAAATACAATGCTTTTCTGTGTTAAATTTTTATGTAGCATACTTTTAAGAGATGACGCGTAGTGTACATTCACCTTTGTCGACGCTAAAAACGGCAAAATGCATCCGTGGATGCCGGGATATTATTACGTTGGAATTATTACACCAACACGTAATAAAGTTGTCTATAATACAAACAAACCATTGTCGAGTTGGTTCGTTATTGTCGAAAACTTCACTCTGGAGGCGAATTTATGTACTATCATTTATTCGGTTCCCCGCAGACTAGCAAATCATTAAAATATATACTTTGATGCTAAGCGGTAAAATGTTTTGTACAAGGAAGGTCGCAAATATTCCTCCACGATAAAACAAAATATGAGCATTACGCATTCGCGGTTATACCATGATGGTTCTGTCACTTGATGTGCATTTTCTTTATGCTTACAATTTTGTCACTATGACCATTAAGGTGTAACACACTTTGAAGGTTATATCTCGCTCACACCGTTACAAATGTTACAAATTAAATGTGCACACTGCTTCAGCGATTTGAAAAATGGCTATTCAGTATTACTGTGGTTTTCATAGTGCTCTTGTTGTATGGACCAATTTTTTCTTAGATAAGTTGTGAATCAGTCTATCCAGCTGGAGGGCCTAGCTTTTAATCATCGAAACAAAAGAAGGTCGGATCAATGGCTACGTAACATTAGAACAAAGTTTGCAACAAAGCGAATCGCCAGCCTATAGTCCTTGGTAACTTGGACACGCTGCGTATGTTTATTCTGTGCCAGAGGAGCAAATTTTCAAATTAAAATTCCGTCACGGGAGAGGCAATAAAAACTCTGTGTTGCCAAGCAGACGCGGGGCACACGTGAACGGGTATATTATGCATCGTAATGCAGAACATACAGTATTTTGCTTCGACAAATTCAGTCCTCTCTGAGAGCGCCGAATTGGTCACGATCTTTGCTCGAGTAAACTAACTCTAGTGATCTACTTTTCTACTATCTGACTCTCAAGACGGAACGAACAAATATCTATAAATCACCTCAAACATTTTGACTTACTTCTAAAACTAAAGCTACTCCAGAAATAACTACCCGGCTGAGTTCCAGTTTAAAATCTGCAGAGTTTAGTTTTTCCCACTCTTATAACGTGAAATTAAAATGGCAGTTACACAAGTTCGGCGCTTATTTTAATCGAGTGTATTATTTACTCAATTGGACCGGATTGGCCAATTTAAAGTTGAATAGGATACTCCGATAAAACTTTTCGAAGACCAAGAACAATATACACTCGAATTATTCTGCCTTTTCTTTTTAAAATAATTACGCACGTTTTGAAATATTGAATACGCAGGGAAGATACAAGACATTGACACATCATATCAGGTTGTTTGTAATTGACCAATTCCAGTCGTACTAAAGAATTAATTTCTGTACCTGTTGGACTATGTGTGCGATTAAACGTAATATTCCATTTTCTGAATAAATTTCCCAGCATAAAAGCCGAAGCTGAAGAACGGCTAATAGCAGAAAAATAAATGTAATGTTGATCGCATCCTCCAGAGCTTCCAAAAAGGCGGTAAACATTCATTGTAAAAAAAAACAGCCGCATCATTTATCAAACAAACAAAAAGCTTAGCTCTCTGATAATAATTGAGATATGTAAGACGGTGAAAGGTAAGTTAATGCTTTCTCCATATACCCTCACTTGTTACTTGCGTATCATTAGGCTTGTTTTCATCCAGACAAACATTGTAAACCGTCACATGTATCTGGAGAATCATAAAAAATAACACGTAAAACAAAACTTCTTGGAAATGCTCTAAAATATTTTATTCGCGGATGAATTTTTCATTTTTATATATACTATAAAACTGGTCTGGTCACAACAGGTCGTGTGTTACAATAAATCACGTTTGAAGCTGCTTCAGATAGCCGCTGTCTTGTCTATGCATTTTCCCTGTCACACAATTCTGTACTTAGTGCCTTGATTTACTCCCCGTGTAGTACCTATAACGCTTTTATGGCTATAAAATTCTAAACCTGGTTTTTCACGACATGTAGGTATTTTATGTGGAAATCAGTTTGTTTGGGCAACTCTGCCTTTTTGTGCTGCACTCGGTCGGTATTTCATTATTCATGGTAACATCGTTGGTAAGTAGATTGCAGCCTTTAATAGACCAAAAACACACAACAGAGATTTCCTTTAAACTTTCCCTATTTTTCCTGGTTATTCGTAATTATTTTTATACGTAGAATACTAATTTTACGCACGCTGTACACTACGTAATTCGTAATGTAAATATTTAACACATTAGTGTAGATAATCATTGTACACTACGCGTAATATGCCCTAAGCGTAATGTAAATACATAACGGACTAGTGCAGATATTCACGCACGTAGCAATTTTTTTGTTTAATATTAATTCTGTGGATGTTGGCCCTGGCGGTCATGGTTGCAAACTTTGATACGCCTACTAGGATCTCGCGTGGAATAATTTAATTAATTCGAAACAAATCTTGTACTTTACAGCCCTCTTAAATCTAGTAGATTA